CAGTTCAATCGGAATATTAGTTCTGTCATCAATATTTTTTTTACTTTGTTTTATTTTATTTTAAAATATAGTAAGTCATTGAGTATTTATATTTCGTCAATATGAAAAGACATACCGAACTTTCAAATGTTCATACTTAATAGTTATATGAAAAACGAACAACGTTAGCCATGAAGTTAATTCTACGGTTATCAGTTCCATAGTTATTCAGAGAAATATTAAGAGAACCTACATGACTGCTAACTTACTTACGCCTGTTATCCCTTGTCGAGGAGCATCGAACTCTCTCCTGGGCAACCCATTCCACTTGTTTCCAGTTGCTATTCCTTCTTTTGTTGTCTACTTACAATTTCCGACATAATGTGTTCCTTGATCTTCCTCTTTTTTTTCTCTTCAGGACTCCAAGTTAGTGTCTGCCTCATGATTCAGTCTAATGATTTCAACAATATATGCCCTATCCATCTCTAGCTTCTTCTATTTTCCTCTTCATCTGGAAGGTGGTTTGTTCTTTTCCGTAGTAGGTTGTCGCGGATGGTATCCGATCAGCAGACACTGAGTATCTCGCTTAGAAAAGTGTTTATAAATGCTCGTACTTTTTTACGATGGTTGTAGTAGCTCTCCAAGTTTTAGCTCTGTAGAGATCTACATGAAGTGACCATATATCCACTTCATGCATTATCAAGATCAAAATAGTAAATATTCATTTAAATGTTACTGTGTTAATAAATATCAAAACCATCATCAAATTCAATATTATCTCCCCTCTTAATTTAAACACTACTGTCTAACTAATATTCGACTACAGTAGTGATTCAGTCCGCCTAAAAAGGATTACTTTATCAATTGACAAAAAAACAAATACGGCATACACTTAAGATGAGTGTGCAAATAAGAGTTTAATCTAATCCTTTTTATTACGGTGGTTTGTCCTCATCTCTGATGACCAAAGTTGTGTTCTTTATATTTTTAGGTAGGAAGACTCGTATTACACATGCTCAAATTATGAAAAGCAATCAGTCTACATAAGAGTATATGCTTTAAATTATAAATCGGTCACACTAATATCCTTGAAAAAAATTATGTATTGTAAGCTAGTGTGGTATGTGCTGATGACAATGTTATTGGCCAATGAATTTGGATCAATAAATGTCTTGGATTGTATTGGATACACCGCCTTGTGCTTTAACCCATTTTAAAGTTACCTGTTATTTCAATGTTTAGGTGTGCTGTATTACAAGAACGAGCTTGAGTGACACTGACGACCAGCCCTGACAAAAGTTATCCCTCTTTTAGCTGATCAGAAGGCAATCACTACAAAATAATCAAATTACAAGTGTATATATCACTTACATGGTTAATGTTTTACTAGGATCTGAATGTTTTTTCTTTCATATAACGATGCATATGAATTCGTCTCTATGAATCAAAACCACTTTTCTTTTAAAACTTTTACAGAGAACCAAATAGTTTTTCCGACCAACACACATAATTTCCATGTCAATTATATGGAAGCATGTCAGAGGATCTATGAAATGCGACCTATAGATATCAACTTCGTGGCTTCATGAGAATATGGAAATTCATTTTTCCCTCAAGTTGACCCTGTAGATTATTTTTGGAGAAACATATATCTTTGAAAACGGATCATATTAGCTACCTTTCATCCTTTCAAAATGGCTTCATCACCGGGTTCAATTCATTATTTTAAACATCTATTACTGTAAAACGAAATAAACATTTACATTGATCTCTATTCATTGTCCTCAGTTGTGTAAAGTAATCCAAAACACTATAAGCATTATACTGAAACATTTTCATCATCACACTGTTGATACTACGCATGTTATCTTCATCTATGTAACATGATCTTAACAATCTTGACCTTCAACTTCTACCTGTTTGTCCTCATAATACAATTGTATATGGCGGAATTAAATAATAATGTATGTACAGATAAGACCTATCAGTCATCTCTTCACAAACGAAATACTTAGTTACGCCTGGTAAATTTCGGGGCATAACCATGTCAACTTTCTGGTACCCTCATATGTGGTTGTGTATATTAAAATAGACTGACTTCTTCAGTTAACCTATTTGGCAGAAAGTGATATCTTAGTCCCCAAATATTCCCGTCTTGCATATCTGTCGTCATGCTTGTGCATGTATGATTGACTGCTATCTTCAGCTTACTCATTTTTTTCTTTTATTTGGTTAAATATTAGTTATTTAAATCGCTTGATGATTCGACTGACATCTTATATATTTACTGACTAAACTACATTAATTAATTCATCTCGCTCATCGTATGCTTTTTAGTTGTTTGGCTTGAATGAACTGTCGTTGTAATTTTGCTTCCCCTTCTGGAAAATGTACACCTTTGGGAGTTACAGTAATAACAGTTGTCAGGTCGGTTAATTTACGAAATATTGTAACTGTCTTCAAGATATACCTCAATAATTTAAATATCGAAACTACTTTTAAGTTAAATATTTACAAAGTTCCTTATATTGTAATACAATAGAACATTAGAGAATAAAAATTCCGTTTAGTGAATTCAATGACTTATCCATAATCTATGACTAAGAGTGAACATTGCCAATAGCGGCCTCAATCTCAAAATAAAAAAAGTAATTACACTGAAAACTTTTTTAAATGGTTTGCTATCTGGTGATCATATTCGTGAGATAATTCCCGACGGATCGCTCATGTCCCTAACTATATGAAATGAACGTTGTTAAGTTCCTTATGCTGCTTGATTGCAAGCGAATTGAATTAACATTTCGAACTATATTTTATTATAAAATATTACATTTCCCCAAAGTAATTTCAAATCAATTCACCTCTGACCCCACTTGTACGTATTTGTGTTTGGTCTTACGATGAGTATGGAATTTAATGACAGGCCATAGTTTCCTTCCTCTGATATAAACTTTAGATAAATAGAATTATATTTAACTGAATTAAACATCTCATCATTTATAAACTAGAACTTTATCACATGATTTGTATTGATTGCGCCGACATCAAACTAATAAATCCATAATTTCCTGATTCTATTTAACATTGTTATTATCAAACGTAAATAACAGTTATACATTTAAATGAATAGACTAATTGCTTTACTCTTTTCGTTTGTCATAAATTTCTATTTATTAGAGATGAAAGATGATCACGAAAATTCTACACACATGGATAATAATATATCAGCATGGAATCGAAAATTGAATGAAGTTATTTCTACCGATCTATCAAGTAAAACTTGGGAAGGTCCATTTTATTATGATGTATTCATTGGCAGTATTATTACTTTACCATGTGTAATAAATGACAGTAAAATTGAAAACATTTACATTGCAAGGAATACCATAACTAAAGAAGAGAAATCATGGGCATTATTATGGATTCATAACACATGGACAAATGTTATTGATCCTTGGTTAGGTGATGGGAGACGCAGTTACGATCCATTAGATAATAATCGTTGGGAAATACCCAACACTGATTTATCAATAAGTCAAGCATATTTGTCAATTATCGATATTGATCCAACTGATGTCGGAGTTTATGCATGTGTTCTGGTTACCTATCCAATTCAATTTGGTTATTCACCAGTTGATTTAAAACAAACTCAACTATTAAGTATTCATATGGTACGAGTTCACTCTAACTTTATAGTAGCACCAGAATGCCAAGATGATGATGATTTGGAGAATGGAAATTATTGTAAAACTGGATTTGAACCATGGAGATTTAATGTTTATTATCCAATTGATGGATGGGTAAACAGTATCTTATTCCATGGTAGGCCAAATCTATAAATAGTTATTAAAATGTATTCATTATTTTAGTGAATTTGGATTGTGGCTAGGAGTGCAGTCTGTAGCGTGGCGTCGAGTTGTATATTTGCTGGCGATCTCGTGGCATCGAAAGGATACCGAGATCGTGCCAGGATACAACCTTGGTTACAGAAGGTAACCGAATTCGCGCCAAGTTACAATCGAAGTGTGTGTAAAAGAAAGGAAGCGAAATATAGCTGTCATTAGCACAGTCAAACAAAAGCACATTAAAACAAGCACTGGAACAGTTGGTTATAATAATAATTGCTTTTATTAAACCAGTCGTGTTCTCGTGATAAATGTGAGTCACTACAAGTCTAAGAAATGCATTTTTTTCTGGTTTGCTATTCGTCTGTTGGCAGGACGTCCATTTTAGTGTTGATGTTCACTTGAGATTCGATCCCAGAAGTTGCCATTTCAAATGTCAATAAATTACTCATCAAGATACTAAGTCCACATAGGCATTAGCTTGTCCAATTGGTGTAACTTTAATTACAAGGGTATTTGTTTCCCCACTGTTGACAGGAAAGACTGCAATTTATCAGTCTCTATTGGCATATGTGCATCCTGAACAGATAGCCTAGAGATTATCAGTCGCATAAAATAGTTATCGTTCATTTAAGAAAAATAACTCAGTAAATTTGAAACAAATAAATCTACATAGAATCCGAGTATTTCAAATCAATGGTGACTAGCTGATTTCAAGACTACGATCAAGTCACAACTTCACGTTTGTTTATACATATCAATAAGGTCGGTGTGAATTGGATTACAGAATTTAATACAGTCGTTTAAAAATTTGTAGATTTAAGGGATTGGTCTTTTTGCCTTTTTTTGTAACACCCTGATATTTTATTCATAGCTCTTATGACGCGCGATGTCTCATACTGATATTAATACACAAACTTCATATATGCAAACCTCAAGCCAGCTACTAAGTGAAAAGATTGAGTGGCCCATAACATGCACTTATCATTTAAAATATTTTTGATTGATGCAGCGTGGGCTTCTCATTTGGTGAATTTCGATTAACCCATTGTATCAATAGCAATTTGCGTATTCATAAAAGTTTTACACGGATAATTTATTTATGATGGTAAAGAGATGTTCACCCTCAATTTATGAGATTATTACTGACATTCAATAAGACAGAATTAAACAAACCAAATCAAAATTAATTATTGTATCATTATGTTTTGAATTATTAATAATAAAGGGTTCTATAAGAGAAATCAAAAATAATACTTTTGTTAATTAGTGATTTTTTTCAACTTGGAATGAAAACTGAATGCAACAGTAGTTGGAATCAATAACGACAAAATAGAAAGATTTGAATGAGAGAATTTTAAACACAATCCGCACTAGGACGTAAAACCACCCAGAGAACCAATGAAAGAAACAAAACGAGAACGCTCAGATCTGTTTCGTCCTAGTGGGGGATTCACCAACTGGTGGACTCAATTTACCAACAGATGAGTTTCCTGAATAAGTCTCTATCCCATCACACATACAGTCTCGGTAGGGCTATAATCGAAACAAGTAAATATATATATTGGCAATAATTGTTTCTAAAATACAAATAAACACAATTAGTACAAAAACGCAAAATAGTAGTTAATTACAAAAGGAACTATAGCCACACGCCCACCGAATGGGAGTAGGGACACAATAAAATGAATTTATGAAAGGATTACTCATGTTTAATAAAGGGCTGTTACATTTTTCTAATTGAGATTTAAATTAAAAAGGGCAATAATCAATAACTAATCTGAGGTTAAATGGGTTTTAAATAGCAGGCGTTTAGCTGAAAGATTATTAATTGCTTCACAGTTGTTCATCGAGATTAACATCAACTATTCTGTATTCCATAATTTTCATTAGTTTCCCAGTTGACAGCAATTTGTGACGAAAATGAACTTTAGGATGTACTTCCTAACATAATAACGGGGGAAATGATGTAAAATCAAACAGCAGTCACAAAAGAGATTTACAGTATTGTCATGAGAGAAATATCCTATAACGTACACACCTATCAAATTGAATAGCTAAATCCAAAGGGTAGGAAGGCGTTTTAAAAAGTGCTTAACCAAATTTGTTTTAGCCTTCAGTAGTAAAAAGTAAACTAACCATCTCTTCATTTCTTTCAGGTAATAACAATATTCACATGTAATGATTGGTCATAAGGATGCTGGAGAGACATGCACAAAACGTAAAGCGCTTTTCAGCACAAATAATGTTAAAATAACAAATCATTTCAAAAACAGTAGGGTATTCGACAGGAGAAAGATATTCACGGATAGTTAGTGTCCAAAATTATAAAACAGGGATAAATGAAAATTATTTTTGAATTGATTTTATTCATATATTTTCAGTATCTGACCTTTCTTACTTTTATTGGAAATTTCAGCTCCATGTAATGCAGATATTTTTCTAACAGCTGTAACAATGAATAATGTAGATCCGACATTTTGGAGTATTAGTTGGAAATTCATACCATATGGTCAAACTGATGATACAAAGGTTGTTGAAATGAATGAAAACTCTAATATTCAACTGTTACAACCATCTTATAGATGTCTTGGAAATTCTCCCATTAATCTATCATTTGTTAAATTCAATGAAAATGTAACTAATCTAGATAAGCATAATTTATTAACAAAACAGATTCATGCATCAACCTATTGGAAGGCTCATTGGCTTGTTTTAAATAGTTCTATGAAACAGAAATCAGGAGCATGGCAGTGTTGGGTTCAAAGATCAATTCATAAAAATCACTCATTCAAAACTGGTATTCCCCATATTCGTTGGTTAACAAATGAAGTACATGTGAAAATTATACCTAGAAAATATACTTATCAATTGGAGCTAATAATCGAATTATGGCGTATTATTGCCTTAATTATGGCTCCATTAGATATTTTCCTGTTATTCACACTATTCACTGTTGGGTGGTATTTAGCCTATTATCATGAACGCACGTCTAAGTCGAGGGGGAAATCAAATAACCTACGTGATGTAAAAGAAAGTTCAACACAATTCACTCAAGAGCAGCAAAATTCTGATGAATCTGAACAAATATTTATACCAACTCAGTATGTAGATGAATTTCTTCGAAACTCTGGTATTGAATCGTACAAAGAATATGTTATTCGTAGAAATAAGAAAAGGACCGTTAAATAATCGTATGGGTTTTAATTGAGAATACTTTGCATAGAGTTAATATATGAAAAGAAGCATCTACATTACATAGAACACTGGTAAATTGTTAGAAAGTTGGTAAATCTAACAAGACATTATATTTAGTATTAAGCGTTTACTTTTATCATACTCAGCTGCACTTTCTATGGTTAATTTTTTATTCTCATTGATATTATCTTGTAAATACCTTTCGATCTTACCATAAACCATACATTGATGCATTGTACCGTACTGTACATCTGTGAAAAAAAGTACTACAAGTGAATAATTTAGGATGTTTTTCACAAACTTGTAACTTCTCGTCAGACTATCAATAAAGTAGCACTCAGGTTACACGCTGAGTTATAGGCAATAAAGGTGAATTGATTTAGAGACCATTTTTTATAAATGGGTAACCGAAATTCAAATCTGATAAGCTAAATTAATCAAGCACACAGTAAATCTCTATACTTTTAATATTCTGATTCAACAAAGTAAACGAAATTACATTGTAACCATGCATAAAGTAGTAATCCTTATATTAAAGGGCTGTAAATTATTATGCATAATTAATAAAGTTTAGTAGAGCATGACCATAATAATTTAGATACCAACAGATGAGCGCAATGTTCACCCCACAAAGGATGTTAGAAAGTCATATTAATGCTAATCAAGGATGTTTCGCTAGTGTGTATTTTATACCTATTTACAGTAAATACTGTCTTAATTGCTTTAATCTCAATAACTTCCTTACTCGGTAAAGACCTATGACAAACTGTGTGTATATCCGACGTATTATAATTAAAATTAGGTAAACAAAACGTTGATCAGTAGAAATGTTTTTCGATGAAAAATATTTCTTGATGATATTCAATTCTAAATCCAACATTATCAATCCCATCACAATAAGTATTTGCAAAAACAAGAAAATCCTTTTTAGTATCCCTGTAATTTTAGGTGTTAAATTGGTTTATTTTTCAAATTATTGTTACATTCTCCCATTCTAAGCCAATATAGTAACTTGATACAACTATGTAAACAGTAAAATTTACAATCATAAATCTCTTGAATTAAACTAGTAATAAATACTTTTTAATAAAATGTGACAGTATATCAAAATACTTAAGTTTGTTAGTTACAGTGAAGAATTAATGGATAGAATTCATTTAGCTAAAATAAGCGATATAACATAACTGTTTAATTGCTTCAATAGCTATTTAATATAAATAAAACAAATGATACAATATAGATAGAAGCATAGTTTATTTTCATTTAAAGATTCTCTAAAACAAATGAAATTGACAATAGATGCATCTCAATAAAAATTGTAAAGAGAAAGAAAGAACTAATTTTCTTTTACACTTTATCATAGTAATAACGAAAATATAAATAGATGATTAAGAAATGTAAATTTGTACAATGAAATAAGTCAAGTCATTTTTATGTACACATACACATACACACAGAAATGTATCATGACGACGATGTTAAAAAAAACACAGTAGAATTTGTTAATTTTAAAAATTCAACAATGTTGGTTTAATGTCAAGTTGTAAATTTTTCTCCCATGTAGATAATAGTTTAAAAAGAAAATCTAATTAAGGTTATAACAATCAACGATTTTTAATTTTAAAACGTATATAGAAAATTAGTAACAGAGAAAAATGACAAAGTATTATGTTTGTTTTTTTAGATTTTACTGATAGTTACCACAGTGACAAGACTAAGATCAATTCAGAATTTAAACTATGGAAATCCTGCAAACCCTATTGTACTAATAATGATCATCTGTTCACTAGTGACTAGATTAAAGTCCTGAAGTTCTAACGAGAAGTTGTAACTAGTAGAGTTTAACCATGTTGGATGTGAAACAGTAATTCACCACAATCGATGGATGAGGGTTACGTGATATCGTAAATTGATTCAAGTTAGGCATGTATAACATTGGTTGCCGACACGGTAATCTAGAGGTTAGACGTTCACATGCGAAACCGAAAGTTATAGGTTCGACTATCGCAAGCAGAGGCAGAGGGGTTTTATGCTAGGGCGAAACGGTCATCCATCACTTTCAATTTTCAATGAAGGCTTAACTAAGATTAGTTTATGGATTAAGCATTGAAAAGACGTATATATCTCTACTAGAAAATCTTCACCTAAATGTCAGAATTATTAAGATTTCTATCCAAAGAAACGAGTATAAAGTTTTCTCTGTTTATCGATAAATAAAATGTAAGTGATCCTTTCATTTGTTCGATAAACCATTGGAATAATACAAAAATCTGAGATATAAATATATTCATATTGTATTATGCTTAATTGTAAAATTAATGACTGTTGACATATTGATAGGAGATAGGATAGAGCTAAACACTATAAATAACTAGCTGAAAGTTAAGAGTTTAGACCAATGAGGCAAGTTCTACAACATTTAACACGCATAGAACTTTACCCTCTCTATCATTTTATAATTTAAAACAATAAATGTGATCCAAAAAACACCAGTGATAAGAATTACATTTTTAGCATAACCTGACACTTTTTAATTATTCATTTAATTAAATGAATGCTGGATACGTGAGTAGAATAGATGTTCTGTCTTGTAGATCCAACAAATACAAGCTGTTCTGTAAGCAACAGATAACAGAATAGTTAAATAATTCCAGAGCGATTGGAATATATTTTAATTTCAATATTACATGAGCCTGCAAAGTGAGATTAGACATTGACGTTATGCTTAAACTACACTGACTCATTCAAAATGTATCAAACAAAGACTACTAAGTTTAACAAACGGTTGAAACGTTGAATTTTCTAGAACAAATAATAGATACTTCCAATAATACGGTTCAATATGTCAGATATAAGATGCGAATTCCTTTATTTAGTAGTCATCAACACTATACTTTTATGGTAATTTTACAGGAACCTTGTGAATGGTTTTAACCGAGTGTGAAGCGATGATAATTTAGAGTTAATAGAAAAACCGTAATTTTAGCGATTTGATTACAGGTTGGAACACCATACCACATTTATTTAGATTTGTATCATTATATTCTCAGAAAAATTGTAGTTTAAAGTGGAGTATATGAAATTCTAGGTAGTTCTTAAGTTGCATACTGAAAAAATTATTCACCTGCTAATAAATTTTAAAAGACCTTAATATTTCAATCCAAACAAAATCCCAAATATTTTTTTAAGCAATAAAGGATATCTATCACTTAGCAGATCGAATGTTCCAGTTCCAACTCTGGTTGGATTCCCTAGAATGATGTTTTCCGTAACACCTAGACAATTTGAAAAACAAACCAAAAGTTAAATAAAATAAATAACAAAGAAAATATGAAATCATGAATTGAATTAGTAAATTCGAAATAATAAAGGAGCAGTTAATCAATGGATGAATGAAATGTGACCAAAAGGTTATAATTTTTACTACGCTAACAGACAAATCATATAAGTAGTGTAGCGAAAAACTAAGTATATAAGCACGAACTTCATAAACGAGTTGTATTATTTATAAAAATCAATTTACTTGCTCTGCTGAATACAAACTAATAACTTGGCAGAGATACATTTACAGGGTTAATGGGTCTTAGGTTCAACATTCCAATCAGTGTTTTAATACTAAATTAACTTCCGAAACACTCTCAACTAAATAAAGAGGATTTTCTAAACTATCAAAACATGAATGAAAGCAATTAAATCATAAAAAATAAATGTATTTAAATATAACACCCACCAGTCAATTGATCATCTTGACAATGATAGGCAGCTTCAAACAAATGATCACCAGTTCGTTCAAACTATAAATGAAAAGGAATCAATAGAAATTTCTATTGGACAATGAGGATTTCAGAAGACTAAAGTCGAGTTTAACGAGGACAATACTATCGAAAAACATCTCAAGCTAATGTGAATGAAGATTATTGGAACTGATTTCCATACTTTATTGTGCACGAAATCGAATACTACTTATTACCTTAAAGTAGATTGTAAAAACCATGGATTTTTTAGAATGACATTTAAAATAGATGAGATCATAAAATATACATCAAAGAAGTGAAAAGTAAGATAACACTCTTACAGAAGCTAAACAAAGTACACTATTTTTCGCTTTCGCCATTCCAGTTCGCTGATAACCGCATACTTCACCCTAAAAACATTAAAAAATAATGAATAATTAGTTCTACATCTGAAAATAAAAGCATTTGACAGTAAAGTGAATAGTATTAGGAGAATTGTTTAAAATTCTAATTCATATATATATATATATATATATATATATATTGGTTGTTTGAATCTTCTCACTAATGTTTAGGATTGTAATCGATCAATCTCATTTGGCACATCCTGTGCGGATATTGTCAGTAGGTCACAGGCACTTTAAGCAAGGATGAATGGTGGCTAGCAGCGGATTCTAGGATGAATTTCTCGCTCTATTTGAGACTCGTCACCTGGAGGTACCTTCATCCTAGAGTTTGTGTTCACTCGGTACTCAAACGCATTATCTTTCGCTTCAAATGCCATAGCCTTATTTACTTAGCTACTGAGTCTAGACAGCCACTGGCTTGTACAAAAGAGATTGATCAATTGCAGTCCAAAACATAAGATCCAAACAACCAATAAATAGATATGGACCAAATATTGCACAAGCTAGTAGTTATCTGGGCTAAGTAACTAGGTGGATAATGAGATGGCGTTTGAAGCGAATATTACTGGGTCGGAGTGCCGGAGTGAACATCAACACTTGGATGCAAATGCCTCCAAGTGACGAGTCTCAAATAGGACGAAACGCGCATCCTGGATACTAATGCTAGCCACCATCCATTTATAGTGTTTGAAGATAAACCATCATCACAAAAAATAAATAACTTACGGATTGTTTGTTGAATTACGATTGATCAATCCATTCATTCAACCCTCAACTACTCTTAAAAGTCAAGAGTTTGAACAGTGATCCAATCATCGAACATTAGACATACATATACTATTATGATGTACTTTTAAGTATATTTGTTTACTATAAATTATATCTTCAGTGTTTATGTAAATCCAGAACATTATTTGCTACATATGGACTGTAAATCCCTTGCATTCGTGCAGCAAGCGATATTACTAGGTTTTTCTTTCTATTAGTAGGGACTTCTGGGTTTCATGTAGTTTTCGTGTCTTTTCAACATAGAGAATGTGAATGATTGTCTATTGTCAAATTCGAGTGTAAAATTTGTTACCCAATGCATTTATTACCAAAGATGATGAGTTGAACCTCCTAAGAAACCTACTTATCGAAGGATTTCTTATTCTCTCAAAACAACGTTTTTTGCGGCAACGATTTGTATTTCCCAACTGGCCAGTGTTGAGGAACAAACAAAAGGATAAACTCTCACATTTCTGTATTATTCAACTCATCTGATTCTGATGAGCTAAGTAAATAGGTCATTCGATGTGTTTTATACAAGAGGATTCAAGAACATTATCCGGCCTGTTTGAAAAAGATGCAAATGCATCCATAAGAAGCTCCATAACAGAACACCTTGTGAACACAGGTTATCTGATCGAAACAAACTTAGTGCTCTAGAAAGTGGTTTTCTTAGCATTACCGAAGCATTTGTTATACATCTAGAAGAACCAGAACAATATATCAAAAAAAGACTTATCCAACATCTGCCATCATGGTGTTAATCTCTCGTTTTTTTAAAGCCACCATCTTTCATCCTACCTACTTCCCAAGCGACATTTTAGTATCAATCGATTAGTTTTGGTATTTACGTTTTTTTTAAAGTTTATTACAACTTTATCATTTTATTTTTTCTCGTCTACGCAACCCCTTTTTAACAAATTTCTGATCTTTATTTGTTTTCTTGATGGATACATAAACCCTATTTTGAGTTTATTAATGAGAATAACATTTTTTCCTTTTGTTTATTTTACCCTTATGTTACCATGTCTAAGAAATTATTATTATCACCACCAATATTGTTATTACCTGTTTATTAATAGGCATATTATTGGATTATTATTTTGAAAAAAGAAGTACATATTTGAGATTATACAAAATTGAGAATGAAGTCGCCAAAAATAGAACTCTACAATGAACCAATCTTTCGCATTTTTACGTCACAATAGGTATATTTCATTTACTTTGAAAAATGCAAAGAGATATAAAAGACATTTCAGAACATAATTAAACTCTAACTTAACTACAAATCTAAGGCATTGAAGTCATTGAATTCTTCTCAATATTTATCCATGAGTCAATCAAAAGAATTTGCTTTAATTTAGGAATCATTTAAACTTATTATTATCACCATCATCTCATCAACATATTAGATATACTTACCCTATTAGTCATAACATCAGCTAACAGCATTACATGACGCACATTAACTTCGACACCGTGACCTTCCATAACGGCTAGTAATTCATCAATAACAACACGTCGAGCTGCTTCCACACCCAACACTTGTTCCACTTCTAAAATATTATTACTTTGTGTACGTTCAGCTACGACGCCCGGTATACACATTACCTTGAAGAAGAAAAATAGTGTACTTTGCAGAACTAAAAAATGACTAACAAAACCACTGTTTACGAAATAAAGGAAAATTCTTTAAAACAAAGAAAAAGCATATCACCAAATTCTTGTAATCGGTTTTTAGAAAAATCTCTATTAATTAATTCATATCAGAAAGTTTTTTGTGGATATTATAGTAATTTCAATTGACTCATGATCTCAACCGTTGAAATTAATTGTTTAAATATAGAAATGGACGTAATTTATTACGACACACAACCGTCAGTACCAGGAAAGGTTTTCAGCAGTGTTGTTGAACCGGATGAAAGATTAAGTAGACGCCAAACTTCGAGATCAACAAGCTGGATTCCGTAAGGATCGATCATGCACAGGCCAAATCGCGACACTACGGATAATCGTTGAACAGTCAATTGAATGGAACTCGTCATTATATACCAACTTCCTCGATTATGAGAAGGCATTTGAGTGTGGATAGGAGAAGATTATGAAAACTTCTTCGACATTACGGAGTACCTGAGAAAACCGTCAACATCATCCGGAATTCATACGACGGATTACACTGCAAAGTCGTGCATGCAGGACATCTGACATACGCATTCCAAGTAAGGATCGGAGTAAGACAAAGTTGCTTTCTCTCCCCCTTCCTCTTTCTTCTGGCGGTCGACTGGATTATGAAGACCACATTGGAGAGGAATCACGGAGTAAAATGGACAGGTCAAATGCAACTAGACGATTTGGACTATTCCATACACAACAAAAGCAGGTCAAGGCAAACTGTGTACCAGGAGCCTTAGAAGCAGTAGGCCTCAACATACATGAAGGAAAAACCAAAATCCTCAGATTCAACGCAGAGAACACCAACACAATCACATTTGATGGAGAAACTCTGGAAGTGGAAAGTTTCACTTATCCGCGTCGCATCATCGATGAACAGGGAGGATTGGATACAGACGTAAAGGCGAAGATTGGCAAAGCAAGGACAGCATTCCTACAGTTGAAGAACCTATAGAACTCAAAAAACTGTCAATCAATATCAAAGTCAGAAACTTCAATACGAACGTCAAAACAGTTCTAGTGAACGGAGTTGAAACTTGGAAAACTACAACACCATCATCAAAAAGGCACAAGTATTTATAAACAATTGTGGTAGAGAACAAACCGACTCTCAGCTGAAGAGGAAATCAGGAAATGACATTGGAAGTGCATAGGACACACATTAAGCAAATCATTAAACTGCATCACGACGCAAGCGTTAACTTTGAATCCTAAAGGGAAATGATAAATAGGAAGGCCAAAGGACACACTGAGTCTGGAATTGGAAGCATACATGAAAAGGAAGAATAACAACTGGAAAGGATTGCCCAGGACGGAGTTGAACAGAGAATGCTGGTGAGCGGCCTACGCTCCTCCATGAGGGGTAACAGGCGTTGAATTGAATTGTAACTTATTAACCAACTACAGGAATTTCTCATTCAGCTTCAAGCCATATAAGTTTGTGTGATAGGGATAGTGACAATACCTCTCAATAGGCTCAAATGCAGTCAGTGGGAGGAAAGTTCAAATCTGCCACCTACTTTTTAATTAATAAAAACCATTACTCCACAATAGAAAGAAATTATTCATGTGAGTGAAAGAGAAATAACGCCGAGTTATGATAGTTCTTCAATATTAATGTTATTATTTACAATGTTGTGAGTTATCTTCCAACCACACAGTGGTTGTGTTAACATGACGACAAAAAAAGACTGTTCACATTAGTGGAGCAAGAAAACAATGACTTGAAAGGATTAGAAACGTTATATTTTTATTCACCAACTATGTTTAAAATAATCACTCACTATTTTATTTATTTAATTGAACACATAAATACTGGTACAAGGAGGCACCAAATACATATGCGCCACACAAATCTCATTTGATATGTGTGAGGACTGTGATACTGCCTGGGTGCCCAAACCGAAGTAGGTGGTTTTCTGAGAGGGCCACACCCGGAGCCTTCGACCTGAAGGTCTGATCCACAAGGCAGTGGAGCATCGTAAGGAGATGCCGTCCCATGGTAGCCGGTGACCAACGATTGGCTCATACGTCATTTGTTCCTTTGTGATACTGGAGCCCATGTGCACCAGTGGTTTGGAATCAGGGTTTTCCAACTCCCCTAGGTGGACTCTTCATGTCCACCAGCCCGGTTAAAGCTCCGGACATTCGCTTTTCGTCCTCTCAATTCCGTAAACAGCACCCCTGCCACGAGAAGGCAGTGAGTAGGACTTAATCACTCAATAATTTTAAAACTACATTAACCGGGTTAACACAAACATAACAGATAGTTCATTTAAACATAGGTGAAAATTCAGTTGAAAAATAATTAATCAGAAAAGAAATCAAACTAATAAAAAACTCATTAAATTTTATCCATATAGGGAGTTTGTGGGAATTTCCGGGTCTTTTAATTTACGTCACGGACTTATCCTAGTAAATCAACCAATGGAGTTCAGCAAGTATTGAATAGCTACTTCGGCTTAGTAAAGGATTGAATAGTCCTAAACTAAGACGAAGCAGTTGTCCAGTGTCAACTGGTTTTAACGGTTGACTGACTAAGATCAGTGTGTAATCTAAACAATAAAACTCGCGAAATTTGTCTTGCAATAAATGAAATACAAAACATACCTCACGCAATCGAGCTCCTTCAACAAAAATTCTATGTTCACCTTTATCCTGTTGAATTACAACACGAGATACACCAGGTATGCCTTTAACAATAACATCTTCAACTAATTTGACAACTGTTTCCAATGCATTCAAATCCACTGGATATACAAATATATAATCTTTTGCATAAGTTACACGCTAAATAAAGGAAACATGGAGAAGAGGAAGGAATTGCAAGCTGGTTTTTGAGCTGCTATCAACTAGATAATAACGAAAATGGTGAATATTCTTTTTTTAAAATTGCCTATAATCTAGAAAGGGAATTTTTATTACACCTTGAAAAAAGTTGAAGGAAATAACAATAATGCAGAAGCACTTACTATTTATGTAAATAACATTGATAATACTAATAAAGTGAGGATTTTGATACATATCAGTGTACTATTCTATGAGACATATTTGTGTGGCAGTTGAAGATATTGTTCAGTAAAACAAACCTTGAGCAGGTGCAACGAGGTTTCAAGTAGTAAATTCAAGTTCCTAAACAGTGAATTTAAAAATCTACGATTATAGAAACCAAACCATGATGGCTGAATTTTCATAGAAGTTGTTCTTTTCACTAAATGAGGTTAGTTACTTACCGTCGGATACTTTTCAATTTCAGTCACTTCCTGAGATGGATTAAAAATGACAGTTCCTTTAGACAATTAACTTGAAATTTTATTAGAGAAAGTGTATTAAAATAAAACGAGGTTATTTATGAAGTACTCTTATCATTTTAAGAGTAAACTGAAAAATCTAGATTGTCTACAACAGTCATAGTGAACAACACTTACCGATATTTTGGTCTTCTTTAACTTAGTTGTTTGAATAGCAGTAGCGACGTGAGGTGTTGTAATCCCACGTCTATCCATTCTTTTTTATCTAATTTAATAGCAACATATACATATTCTGGTGTTAAACACTGACTTAATGATAATGATATATCTGCTAGTCGTGTTGGTTCAATAGACAATTTAACTTCACGCGCTAGTGATGCTGAGAATGGATCAGTTAAAGTAACACAAATCAATGGTGTTTTAATTTTGGCTGCTGCATTAACAATTTCACGCATACGTGGGACACCCTTTTAAAGAAAATAAAAAAATGAAGATTTCTTATAAACCATCCAATCTAGCTATAAATCAGTCAAAGAAAACATACATAGATATTCAACGCCACAAGTTTGTTTTGAAACCTGCTCTAATACTAGTAAGTAGAGTGCACCCGACTAGTTAATGACCAGGCCATGCATAAAAAATTTACATAGTTTTGATAAAAAATGTAGTTTGAGCCCATAACTCAAGTAAACATTATTTAATTTGGCTATAGGATTGTTTATTGAAATGACAAAACGGAAATATCATTAGAATAGACCGATTTTGTTTCATTGTACACCAACTAAATCTTTCTCGATGAAAATCGTACATAATTCACAAAAATAAATTACAGTTATCTTATTCACATTGTGAGACAATAATCAAGCAAAGAATTTTGAAAGATGATCAAGACATTAAAAACATCTATTTAACTACTAGAAGAATACTTTAACATAAAATGAAAGTATCTGACGTTAAATCATCTATAAGTTTGAAGGCCAATAATACTATACGGCTATTTCATGCTTTAATTAGGCTCAAATCGCGACTAGCTGATTGTCATTTTTTCAACCAGTTAAAAATAGTGGAAGGATCAAGATGTTAGAAGAACTGTATTTATATCGTTGTAGTTTGAGTAATTAAAATATATACTTGTTCGATTTCCATTCATGTTCTGATATGGGGTGGGTCGAGTTAAGTATAAGGTTTAACAAACACTATACAGTAGAAAATTTACGTCTGAAAAGTTAACTTGCTTGTGTAATATTCATACTGGCTACACCAGCAAAGTGAAATGTTTTTAATGTCATCTGCGTAGCTGGTTCACCAACAGATTGACCACATAATGCACCAACAGCAGTACCTGGTTCAATTAAAGCTTTCTCATATTTCTCTTTAACATGTGTCAAAAATATGCGTAGTTGTGTTCTAGTCAGACGTTCATTTTGATTGATTAAATTTGACCCATTTGCATTTTCTGCACACCATTCTTGCCATTTACGAATTTTCGGACAAACTGAATTGTGTATAAATTCTCTAAAACGACACAAAAAGGGAATAGGAGATCATTTTTTATAAACTGAAACGTAAAAATTACACTCTTTGAATCATTGCATTACATAGTCTTGTTTGTACTATAAAAAAGTAGTACTTCACATTTGTTGAAAGGACTCCATTGGATAGGAGCCTTGTCTAAATTACTTTATGATTGTGATATTTCTAAGTAGATGACATGCACAGGTCGATCACGGGTATCTTCGAAGAAATCGACCTACAAGGTTGTGAACAATTATTGAAACGTGGTTGAAACATGTGTTACGTACGCCTAACTACTGATTAAGGCGGGACTACAGTGACTAGCATAGAACTAGTCCCAAAAAGAGACTAATAGACGTTAGACAAAGAGATGCCAAAGATTCGTGAAGTAACTGACTTTTGTTGTTAGACGTGCAGAAAAGTAGTTATATCGTAGTTGAAGTCTACAAAATGACTGAAACTCATTTTTGAAAACATGAAAAGGCAGAATAGTTTACTGCTCGATTGAACTGTTAAACACTCCTTACTTTTTGTTAGTTAATTTCATTCCAAACTTAAACCTTGATCTTCCCCATTTCCAATTTGCAATTGGCGCTAAAAATCTAACTTTCGCTTTTTGGCCTTTTATATTGTTGAAATCCTCAAATTATGCTGCTTTAAAATGTAACAACTACGGCCGATGCACTTTTGGTATAGATTCCAATTCGCTCATATCTGTCTATGTGACTGTGGCGTTAAGTTACTCAGCTTAATAGCCATAATGTAGACTTTGTTGACAACATTCAATCAACATGCGAGGTAGTGGGAGTAAAATATGGTTAGTCACTAAGCGGGAACAAAAAGGCACTTAGCTTACTAACTATCATATATGTGATTTCATTTCTTTACATTGATTTCTAATCCGGACTTACTGAGAGTGACTGCTTGTAACAGTATTGAGTAAAGCATCATATAGCGATACCTTGGTTCTCTATTCTAGACCGTGAATCGTGTATCTGATAAAAATGTGTACCGTATTGTGTACCGTCCCAGTATCCAATCTAGCGTAGCATAATATACCGCGAAGAATCAGTCAGTCAGTCAGAAACAACGTGAAACTTCGTACGTGCATACATCAGTTCGAGTTGCCTTGCCACATTAACACAGAAATGCAGTTGTCGATTCAAATCCCGTAGTGGTAGAGGTAGTAAGAGTATAAACAGTAATCGGAAAGGCTGGGGTTCGAAGATGTTATTTAACGAGTATAATCCAGTCAAATAAATTCGGAAAGAGAAAAAAAGGTACATGAAGAATTCAGAAGATTAGAATTTGGGCGAACACGAAGAGTGGATGCACCTGCACCATTGCAAACGATTTTGAGCCATGTCATTCAAGGTCTCTAACCATCGTTGCTATCGTCTCACGGATCCCAACCAGGCAGTCCACACTTACCAACATGGCTCAGTCCACTTGCCAGTGACTTCGTGGATTTGTGTAATGTTTCGGTCTGGTTTCCTCTAGCTTTCTTTCAACCTACTCCTACACCATAAAACATCGCACGTCGATGGTTTGACATTCGTAACACGTGCCCCAGCCATTTCAATTGATGAAGTTTCACTACTTCATTAATTGATTTGCCATCCTTAACTAGTATCCGTTTCCTAGAAACTACATTACTTACTCGATGGTCCAAAGATATACGAGCAATGTTTCGAAGACACCTATGACCGAATTTTATTTATTATTTATTTTAACACATAGATATTGGTACAAGGAGGCACCAAATACATATGCGCCACACAAATCTCATTTGATATGTGTGAGGACTGTGATACTGCCTGGGTGCCCAAACCGAAGTAGGTGGTTTTCTGAGAGGGCCACACCCGGAGCCTTCGACCTGAAGGTCTGATCCACAAGGCAGTGGAGCATCGTAAGGAGATGCAGTCCCATGGTAGCCGGTGACCAACGATTGGCTCATACGTCATTTGTTCCTTTGTGATACTGGAGCCCATGTGCACCAGTGGTTTGGAATCAGGGTTTTCCAACTCCCCTAGGTGGACTCTTCATGTCCACCAGCCCGGTTAAAGCTCCGGACATTCGCTTTTCGTCCTCTCAATTCCGTAAACAACACCCCTACCACGAGAAGGCAGTGAGTAGGACTTCCCTGGCAGAGGCTATATACGTGTGGTCATGTGAGAGCATTTCGAGAAGGAGAGCGGACTCTCCCCACTCTCGGTCGTACCAGGGCGTTTGGGGTGAGTTTATGGCCGAATACTAGTAACCGAAGAATATCCTCTACTCTTACCAGTCATGTTTCACTGCCATAAAGTAGGACGGAACGAACTGCTGCGCAGTAAACACGTCCTTTGGTTGATAGACGGATATCTCGCCTACGCCATAAATGAAGCAAGTTGGCAAAAGCTAGTCGAGCCTTCTGTATCCGTGCTGAGATTCCGTCACACACCAGACCACAAAGGCTGATCACATCCGAGATAAGTGAAGCAGTCGACACGCTCAACTACTTCACTCCCTATCATTAGTTCGGGTGTCGATGTAACCCAATCCTGAAGCAACATTTTGCATTTCGAGGAGGAGAATCGCATCCCAAACATGCTTGCATTGTTGCTTACAGTGGTCAGAAGACTGCATTTTGTCAGAGTCTTCACTAAACAGAACTATGTCATCGGCATATTCTGACGTAGTGTGAATATCTGATCTATACAACCACGTCCAGGTCGAAAACCGGCCTGGTTTTCTCTAATCTGCTCTTCATGAGCTTTGATTAGGCGTCGAAGTATTATTGAAGCTAATATTTTAGACACTATATTAGTCAAACTGATTCCTCTGTGATTGTCACAAGAGGACTTTTGTCCTTTCTTATAGACTGGCACAATCAGTGATTGAGACCAGTCAGATGGGATTACGTCCAGTTCCCAAATTCTACCTATGACCTCGGTTAATCTCATTGCTAATACTGGACCACCATCCTTAAAAATCTCAGGAGTAAACACAAGTCTGAACAGTTGTCTGCTGTTACCTATTGCCCCTGCCTTTTCCATCTTTCTTGCTTTCGCTACCTACCACTGTTCGTGATCATTGCGTAGGCTTCTTATCAGCCTACGCTTAAACTGACTCAGCACTTCATCATATTCAGAGCCAGATGGGATGAGTTTTCGTGCATCTATCAGTGCGGTAGATGTTGATGAGATCCAGTGTTTCTCCCTAACCTTATGGTTTACCTTACTAGCAGACATCACTGCTGTTTCCACAGCTTTTCGGATATCGTCCCACGCTGCCTCAAGGTGGGCACCACTTATATGGCTGCCTAACTGTTTTTCTAGTTGTTCCTGAAATATATTTTTAGCTTGGTTATCATTAAGTAGGACCCTAAGAGGTTTCCTTGAAGCGTTCAGTAAGACGCAGACAAATACGTGCTCGCATTGGAGCATGATCTGAATCTAAGCATATGTTCCAGAACGAGCGACAGTCTTCTGTCGAGCTTCTCCATCGGTGGCTGATAGCGATGTGATCTATGTCGGTCCAACGTTGGGACGAATTCAAGGGTCGTCATGTTAAAAGATGTTTTTGCTTATGCTGAAAGTTAGTATTTGCAAGAAACAGGCGGTTATCTGAGCATAGCTGTAACAGACGGTCGCTATTATCTGTTCTTTGAGCCATAATACCATTAGATCCACCCAGGTGTCTTTCCGTTTCGCTTAGTTTACTTACTTGAGCATTAAAGTCGCTAGTCACTATTGCTACATCAGAACGCCTAGCTTTTCGGAGAAGGTCCGAAAGCTTTCTGTAAAACTCATCTTTTACATCATCTGAGCTGCAGTCAGTGGGAGAGTAGGCAGAGACGATGAAGAGGCAACGATGAGTGTCCCTATCTTTTCGGATCCTTACTGTTGCGTTCAGTCGGGCAGCCCACAAACGACTGTCTACTGGGACCCACTCTAAGAGAGCTAGTTCTGCCCTAGAACTCAATGCTATACCTACGCCAGCAAGGCCACGGGAAGCAGCATCAGAGCTTCTAGATACACGAAGCGTGAATCGAGATGGTCCTCTATTTTGATATAGTGAGGTCAAATGAATGACGCTACTCGGATTCTGTATGTGCGTTTCGGAAACGCAGCACACATCAACTGCAAAGAGAGAGAAAATATATATTTCGAACCAACCGTTATATCACAACAGTAAGGACTAAACAACATAAAACTGACTACTATTCGAAAACTGATTAGTGTAATGAATACAATAGTAAAGATGAAACAGTCGACATTGCAGTATCATATTTTCGACTTAGATGATATTAATCTTTTTCCAAGGTAGACGCTGGCTGAGGTCGACAAATAATAAGATAGAATGAGCGTATAGAAAGCAACAAAGTTAGTGACTCTGATGCACAATAAATCGCAGAGTTACTTTTTAACTACATGTCATTATCTATTATTACCTTTTCATGAAAATACATGTGGCAACTGAATTAGACATGATTAACTAAAACCATTATGTGCTACAACAGTATGAAATAAAACTAGTCTGTTACAAAGGTTAATAAAAATGGAAGACATTGACGTGACTTACTTGATTGCTGAGCATAAGCGACTATCTAAATGTCGAAATGCATCAAGTTGAAAGACAACCTCTACTGCTAGTTCTAACTCTTCAGCAGACATTCCAACTTCATGAGGGCAATCATAACTAGTCTAAGTAAAGAAATAACAATAATCAAGTAGACATGAAATATTACTCTTATATGTTCCATTTCTTTGATAAAATTCACAGGAAATGTATCTGTCTCCATTTCTAAAGGATCCAGGCCATCAGAACCGTAACGGAATTGAATTATATCGCCCCGACTATCACGTACAGTATCATCGTAAGCCACCGCCAAATCTTCAAGAAACTATTTAGAAATACAGAAGGAAATAAAATCCGTATATAAAGAGAGGATGTAAATACAATTATCTGATGTATGGAAAATATGAAATGTTTATGGCATTAAGCGGTAGGTACATGAAAGTTTCAGTAAAACAGATAAATGGTCGAAGCACTAATTTCCTTTATTTCGTTTCCCAGTATAATATAAATGACTATAAAAGTGGTATCCCTAGTATAATCTTTTTGAGGACAGGATAATATTCAATGAAGCATAATGTTCATTTCAGTGAAAACGAACAAACAATTTTACAGTTAATCAATGAATTGCAAAATCTTAACAAATCCCAAGGTGATAGGTTCCGGTACGATATGATACCCGTCAAACAATTGTTGATAGTCGAAGAATATTTGAATCAGTTTGTGATTTAAAGATCAATGAAATAGTCGCAGAGGCTGAAAGACTTCAGTAGAGTAAATCTTTTCTTTCTCTTCTCATTTTCCCCTTCTGTTAGTAAGAAACCTACATGAAATTCCTGATGCATACTACTTATTTCTGTCCATATAAGTAGCACATAACAGTGCTATGATGAGACTTACAATAAGACTAAACAGTCAGCCAGTGCATCTACACTGAACCACTTTTTTAACTATGATAAAAATCTACAAAATGATTATCATAAAGATCATCTGAAAGGCTGTAAAAATACCTTGACCAGTCTTCGTTGCATATAACCTGTATCTGCAGTTTTTACAGCAGTATCAGTCAATCCTTCACGACCACTCATAGCATGGAAAAAGAATTCAGATGGTGAAAGACCTGAATAAAAGCTATTTCCAACAAAACCTTTTGCTTCAGGTGTTCGTGAACCTGGAGGGAAATGAACTAGACTGCGTCCATTAATGACATCTGGAACACGTTTTCCACCAATTACTTGTTGGCCAACACAAGCAATCATTTGAGATATGTTGAGAAATGAACCTAAAAGAACAAAATAGGCAATTTAAATTAGGATTGCTAATATGAAGCAAAAGGAATTTCGGTGCACTAACCAATACAAGATGTTCATATATTATAGGAGGAAAGAATTCAACGTACCTTTTGACCCTGACTGAGCCATGACAAGTGGTGAGTTCGATGGGTGAAGCTGACGTTTACAAGCTGCTCCTGCTTCATCACGAATTTTCGACAACTCTTGACTTATATTAGACTACATAAAATATGAAGTGAACGACAATATAGTAAAATATAACTAAGGCATTGAACGTGAGGAATAATACACTTAAGGAGTTAAGTTAATTACTCAATGTTTTTATTTTGATACACAACACCATCCAACCAGATAAACAAAAAGACACCAACACAGAACCTAACAGAGTTGCGCGTTGACTCAAGTTGGTACACCACATTAGCGCGAGACGAAAATAACAAGATGAATATCAAAAGAGATCTAAATAATGTAGAACCAATGATAGTAAGAAAAATTAGACGTTGTGAACACAATTCAATTTGAAACAGTTTAATAAGTACTTCCAGCTAACGAATCCCAAAAAAGACGAAACGCGAGTCGTGGATTCAGTCTTTAACCACTAATCGGGATTATCACGTGGACCACAACCAGGTAGTTTGGATGGCTCAAACCGACAATTAATGACCACATCATAAATCAATGTTGTCTTGGTTTCGCTAACAGGCACCGCGCGTTGAGGTATTCGGTGGTTAGGGATTTGTAAAAAAATGTCCTGACCATCTCAGTCGATGAAGATTTACAAACTCACCGAATGATTTACCCTATGTCTAACCTACTAATTGTTCACTCGGTCATTCCACGAAAAGCGAGCATTACTTCGAAGACATCGATGATAAGAAAACATTCATACTAATTATGCCTTTTAATTTCATAGACCATGTTTTATAGTTATAAGTTAGAACAAAGCGAACTAATGTGCAGTTTATGCATCCTTTGTTTGGCAGACGGATATCTTACCTAAGCTACAAGTGACGCAAGTTGAGGAAAGCCACACGACTTGAATGCCGAAAATCGCGTGCTACAATAACTATGTCTCAGCGCTTGGCTTTTTGAAGGAGGTCATGAAGTACCCTGCATAACGAATCTTTTACTTCATGTGAGCCAATTAGTGGGAGCATAAGTAGGAATGATGAAGAGGTAATAGGATATCTCTATCTTACAGAGTTCTTACTGTGGCATTAAGGTGGACAGTACTTAAGAGACTATATACAGGAATCCAGTCAAGAAGTGTTTGTTCGGCTTTCGAACTTAGTGGTATACTTACATTAGGACCGCAAGAGTTGCTGTCACGTCTCTATATACACGAACGGTATAGAGCGTCGGCTCTCGATACTGGTTAGGTGAGGTCGAACGAACGACTACGCTATGATCCTGTTTCGGAGACAGCCTGCATCGACGGTACGAGGTTCCAAGACCTTCGCTAGTGACGAATGTTGCTGGATTTGGTGTAGAGTTTGAACAGTAAAGGTAGTTTGAGGTCCAGTTTTAGAAGACCTGTTTGTTCCCAAGTACTAAATATAATTTAGAGATCCATGTACGGATACACTAGTGGGGAATAACCTAGCCATTCGATCTTAAACACGAAGGATAAATACATATAGTATTACAAAATTCTATAAACACAGAAAATCTATTTTATTTCCTCAATTTATTTATCTAAGCTTTTCTTAATTTTAGAGAAACAACAGATGACAATGTGTGCGTGATGTTAGTCAATTAAGAATATTTCCATGATTAAATGTGATAAATATTTTAAAAATTTCCGTTAACAGCTAACATCGACTGAAAAACTACTAATTAACAGTGATTGTTGAACAATTGTTTTGTTTTACTTCAGAAAACTAGAAACGCACATAACGTTAAGTTGTTCGAAGGATGAAAAACGTAGTTTTGTATTTCGGTAAGAACATTTCAGTGTAGTGTCATTAAGCTGACAATGATCGCCATAGGAAATACGCGACTAATATCCATCTTGGATTGATCATTGAGTGTTCTACCATGCTTTAAGATCACTTAATCTCTATCCCTTATAGGTTCTTTAAATAATGACAGCTGGTAACTACCTGGTTGGGGGTCCGAGAGACGATAGCAACGATGGTTAGAGACCTTGAATGACATGGCTCAAAATCGTTTGCAATGGTGCAGGTGCATCCACTCTTCGTGTTCGCCCAAATTCTAATCTTCTGAATTCTTCATGTACCTTTTTTTCTCTTCCGAATTTATTTGACTGGATTATACTCGTTAAATAACATCTTCGAACCCCAGCCTTTCCGATTACTGTTTATACTCTTACTACCTCTACCACTACGGGATTTGAATCGACAACTGCATTTCTGTGTTAATGTGGCAAGGCAACTCGAACTGATGTATGCACGTACGAAGTTTCACGTTGTTTCTGACTGACTAACTGAGCTGGTAACAAGTAATCTTCAGAACAATAAATTCATAATAAAAGCATCAATTTGAATAATAAATAATTTACTTCAAGCGTATCCTCCATACTACATCCTGGATTACAGACTAGTGTATTCATCTGATATTGACTGATATAATCATCACAGGTGGCAAATCTGAAATGTAAAAATCAGCAGAATTATCAAAATGATTTTATTTATGGTTAACTTGATAAATTAACTGCGTTATGTACATGTAGCAACGTCATAAGACGTTGTATGATAATATCACTCAAATTATTAGACTAAATTTACAGAAATGAGACAGTCCATGGTAGAATTATACCTATTCTTCATTTTATCAACATCAACCATATGTTAGTAGATGCTACCGAATTTGCTCACCAGAACAATCCTACCACATAGGTATCATTACCAAGGTTTGATAATTTCAAATAAATTTATTTATTTATTTATTATTTATTTTAACACATAGATATTGGTACAAGGAGGCACCAAATACATATGCGCCACACAAATCTCATTTGATATGTGTGAGGACTGTGATACTGCCTGGGTGCCCAAACCGAAGTAGGTGGTTTTCTGAGAGGGCCACACCCGGAGCCTTCGACCTGAAGGTCTGATCCACAAGGCAGTGGAGCATCGTAAGGAGATGCAGTCCCATGGTAGCCGGTGACCAACGATTGGCTCATACGTCATTTGTTCCTTTGTGATACTGGAGCCCATGTGCACCAGTGGTTTGGAATCAGGGTTTTCCAACTCCCCTAGGTGGACTCTTCATGTCCACCAGCCCGGTTAAAGCTCCGGACATTCGCTTTTCGTCCTCTCAATTCCGTAAACAACACCCCTACCACGAGAAGGCAGTGAGTAGGACTTCCCTGGCAGAGGCTATATACGTGTGGTCATGTGAGAGCATTTCGAGAGGGAGCGGACTCTCCCTACTCTCGGCCGTACCAGGGCATTCGGGGGCAAATAAATTGAGCATTAGGCAGATAGTTATAAATAAAAATAATATATTTTTAATATTCCAATGAGTAGAAAAGCTAGATTTTCTGACGTTTCGTGACTCAGTGTAAGCCACTTCTTCAGAGAATAAATGACCAAAATAGTAATAGGTACCCTTCAAACTTAGCTTACACTGAGTCACGAAACGTCAGAAAATCTAATTAATCCTACCACATATTATTATGCTTATACAACCATCTATGAGAGCAATAGTAATCACTACTGGAATCTAAGTCTCAAACCGGTTGATATTTTGGAAAAAGTATTCTTAATTTACCATAAACAAATTTGTTATGAGGATAGTTTAAAGAGAGTCATTGATAGAACAGTGGCTTATTGGTTAAAAAACTCAACTTTCAGCTAGTAATTGGCATGTTCGTGCCTAGCTCCGCCTACTTTGCTTAAGGCAGCCGTGTAGTATCACTAGTCCTCACATGAACTGTGTGGCTTAAAGCCGAATACAAAAAACCTGTACTTGGTGAATTAATTAAATTAAACATTATTGATGGATACATCACCAAAACAAATAGTATTATGGAATAAATGGAGTTTACAAGAAAATACAAACAATTTGAATTGATAAGTAAATTAAGCTTACCCACGACTAATCAATGCTGTTTTAGATGCAACAAGATCTGAGCTGGGCATTACTTCACCAAGTCCGATCGAAAAACCTCGATGTGCCAGGAAAAACAAAGCAATTCTTCCTAAACGCCACATAGCGTCCGCACAAGCTTCTCTACCATAATCTCGAAGTAATGTGTAGAATATACTTGACTTGCTTCCACCCCCAAGTAACTTTTTATCTACACATCCCGCAAGGAGCTCACTATTTTGAATTAGAACAACTGAAATACAGAAAAAGCCGTTTGCAAATATGCATCACAATGAAATGTTCTTGTAATGTCAAGGAGAGCAGTATTGATGAAAAATAATAATCATTGGGATAAATATGGCTTAATTAAATAAATATTGATTCATATATGATTCTCTACATCACTTATTGTCTGAGGGTTGATAATACTATCAATACTATCAGTCAAGAATAGGGATCTGAATAGTTAATTACTGTCCAGAGCCGAAAAAATGAAAGTTGCTTCATAACCTCTTTTAATCATTTTCACTAATTAACTAGATTAAGTATGGTTTTCTAAAAATGTTATGGAATTGTGAATCGGTAGTTTAAGTATTAAACAACTCAGTGCTGTTGACAAACTGTACACTAGGTGCCTCGGTTTGAACACCCAGGTAGTCGCTTTGACTATTGTGTGAAAAAGTTTACTATAAACATTTTACTGAATTGCACTGTTATCAATGAGGTTTGATGACCTACAGTCTATTGTCGCCGAAATATTTTAGTGTTAAATATCAGGAATTGGGCTAAAAAGATTTTGTAGATACTATTCAATATCTTAAGTTAAATTCAGACTGAATTTTCACTTACAACCATCATTTGGACACATTTCTGAACCTTTCGATGAATACATAGACTTTGTTGGTACCCGAAGGTTAACCTTAATTCCAGTGGATGGATGCGGTGAAAGAATGAGACCAAATATCTGTTTACCAGTCCATAGAGCAACAGGCTGAAATAAGTTTAATACACAATCGAGAAATAATCATTACAGCATAATGTCTATTGAAAATAAATCATACAATTTGATTTATGTATAAGAAATTAGGCACTTCTTTTAAGAACAATACTACTTGAAAAACCGTCTATACATTCTTCTTAAACGAGTAACTTATAAGGTAAATAAGAGTGCGCTAAATAGCCCGTCTGATATTTATTAATGTTTTGTTTATATTGTTTTCACAAAATATTGGTTCAGTAATTAAAGGACTCTACTTTAAAGAATCGGGTTTCAAGTTCAAATTATGCCGTCCATACTTTAGTTTCAATAGTTAGGTAGTATCATTAGTCCTCATATAAAAGGTGTAGTTCAAAGCTAACCACACAAAATTATACTTGATTATCAACTTTTAAAAATACGATGTTTTCAAAGCTGTTTAGTGGTGAAGTCATGAATAAATGTTATCTAAATCAAGTAAATAAAACCTATCAGTTATTAAATAATTGAATCTATATATTCATATTAAACAAACTTTAAGGTAAAAGGAAAAAAATTATATTTAATATGGTTTGGCCAACTTACCCATAATATAGCCGGTTTCGGTAAACTTAAAAGTCGACCCAAATGGTTACCAGCTAATAGTTGAGAGGCTAAAGTACAAGCCTGATCGCGATTAAGGAAAACGTCTTTCAAGGTCAACAAATGTGTTGCAGTGATTAGGTCTTGAATTGGTGAAATTAATGGCTCACCATTTTTAGGGCTAACAATATTCTTGAGAGACTGTCAATGAAGATGTCAAAGAACAAAAATCTCAACAGGATACTTTAATGAAAGAAGCTATAAATGAACTGTGACGAGTATTTATATATGCAAATTACAGAACAAATATTTCAAAGAGTGAATTCCTTTCAACTCAAATTAGGTTGCGCATTATAAAGAACTTCATTTTTAAGTTGCTGATGGTTATAATGATACTAAAAGGGTAAACAGACAAGTAAAAAGGATATGTAACCTGAGTATTAGCTCCAGTTATCACACTTAATAACGGTACATGAAAGGGAGAGTAAACTAACAGTCCTTAATATTTTTATTATTGTTAATACTGTCATTGTTATATCAATCTCTTGTTTTATTTACACAACAATTATCTTTCAATCTTGTGGCATATCAAGATCTTTTGTGTTAAAATACATAATCAACTATACAATCGTAAAATAGTTGATTGTGAGATTCCAGCTTAGTGATCTAGAAGTTAAGCGTCCATGTGTAAGACCGAAGGTCCTGCGTCCGAGTCTCGAGTGCGGGATCGTGGATGCGCACTGCTGAGGGATCCCATACTACGACCAAATGGTCGTCCAGTGCTTTCATGTTATCGATGACGGTCTAGCTTAGACTGACCCGTGATTTCAACAGTAAAAATGATGTATTAATCAAGATGTGTCATTATAAAAAAGAAAATAATACATCAGTCAGTAGAGATCAGAAGAGATTAAGTAGGACAGTAATTTTGTGATCATAATACTTGGATTTCAACTATCTGGCTGAGTATTTGAATCCTGCGTTATCTACATCAGACTTGACAGCTGAGCAGTATCACTAACCCTATGATAAAGAGTTCAGCTTATAATCAAGTATATGAAGCTAAACTTGATCATTTGTGCTTGTTTTTTACAAGCTTATTCAGATTGGATTGCAAGTTATCAACACATCAGTATGGTATAACAATAATAATAAATAAATATACTTGTAATATCCCAATGAGTAGAAAAATTATTATTATTATTATTATTATTATTATTAATATTAATAATAATAATATTGCAAAAGATACCGACATACCAGCATAAGATGTTTTGCTTCTGCACGAGCTGCTTCAGTTTGTGGAAGATGTATATTCATTTCATCCCCATCGAAATCTGCATTGAATGGTGTACAACAGCATGGATTGAAACGAAAAGTTCGAAAAGGTTTTACAACCGCCTGAAGATAATCAGTAAAATAATTAACTCATAATGCAACCAAACAGAAAATTTTATCAATGAAATAACAAAATTATCAGGAAAAAAAACATAACAAAATCGCTATCTTTCAATCACATCACGAACAAAAGTAATCGTAGGCAGTTCCTGGTTAATTATCACATGTAAGCTTCTAACAAGTGGTTATCGTGAACCAGTAACCCAAAGATTTATATTTCACCGTTCAAAGTGCTGTATGTTTAGTTCTGGTTCCAGTAGAGGCATTAAAAGTTACTGAAATTTAACCAAATCGAACTGGTGAATCTCATATTTAACTTAGTTTCAGTCAGGACATAGGCATTACTAAGTGAGGAGTTCGAGAAGTCAGTCAGCTACAATGTAGGACCATGCACATATATGCATCGGTCCAAGTTGTCACATCTCATTAGCACAACAAGATTAATACCGGATTCATAAAAGTAGTTAATTCAGTTGTGGTAATATATAAAAGAAAGATTGCAATAAGGATATAGTATAGGAAGAAAGATTTAGTACGTAGAAAGAAAGATATGAAGCGATTTTAATCTCTTAGTTTAAGGGAAGACAGGGAGTGTATACACCGACGCCATTGTGATCGATTCTGAGCCATGTCACACAGAGTCTCCAACCATTGGTTATGATAGTCACGCGGACCCCAACCAAGTAGTCTGCATCTACCAATATGGCTCAGAACAGAAGTCAGTGACCTTAAGCAATTAATTTATGAACTGAAGCCACGTTTTGGTTTGGTCGCCCCTAACTTTCTTCCAACCATCCCCAACACTAGTCAGCATTGCGCGTCGTGGTAATCGGTGTTCAAGCATACGTAACACGTGGCTCAACCATCTCAGTCGATGAAGATTCATAACCTCATCAACTGATTTACCATCATTCCCTAATACCCTGCGTCTAACCTCACTATTACTTACCCGGTGATCCCAGCAGACGCCAGCAATATTTCTAAGGCATCTGTGGTCAAATACTAGTAGCTTACGCGTGTCTTCTACTCTTAATGGCCATGTTTCGCTGTCGTAAATTAAAACAGAACGGACTGCCGCGCAATATACTCGTCCTTTTATTGATAGACGGATACCTCGCCTTCGCCATAGGTGACGTAACTCGGCAAAAGCCAAACGAGCTTTTCGAATCCGTGCTGAAATTTCATCAGGCACCAGCCCATTAGGGCTGATCAGACTTTCAAGGTAAGTGAAGTTTTCGATGTGTCTAACTACTTCACTATCTATCTTAAGTTCAAATATTGACCTAGTCCAGTACTGGAGCAAAAACTTGGGGGAGAAAAGCATCCCAAACATTCTAGAATTGTTGCTCAGTGCTACCAAAAGACTGTATTTTATCACAATTTTGTAATCTGAAATACGTACAAAGTATGACAAGGACTACTTACTCTGAATGCTTGAATAGATACACGATGTAGTGAGGGTTGACGGTTAAATAGTACAATATCATCATCCAATAAGTGTCTTTCAACTATATCACCTGATTGTAAATATTTTGCCACGTCTTCACGTGCACGTTCAGATGCCAAGAAACGTTTTACTACATCAGAAGTACCAGATGCTTCGGCTTGACGTTTCCTCTCACCACGTAGTTTATAACTAACAAACATAGCTCCAGGATAGTTATTTGGTCCATTTAGTACAAGAGATCGGAGAAAATTCAGATTGAAATCAGTCACACGTTCAGGATATGTTAGCAATTTTGCACAATGAACTGGAATACATACCTGAAAAGTATAGTATACGCATTCTCTAGTTCACATATTTCAAATAACAATTACACATTCATGTGAATCTACTCCTGATCTGGACGTTCTCATAAAGCGATAAACACTGTATAAAGATGTTTCTATATCTGGCTATGACTGTTTTGTGAAAGAAGGGTTGTCCGAACCGAAATGAGTGGAATTAAATTGAGATAATCGTAAATAATAATAATAGTAGGAAAGTGTAGGTAATATTGCTGAAAATCAGCAGCACCAACTTTAATATTAGTTATTTCTGTCTTTCTAAACTTCGAAAATATTATTATTCTATACTTCTCACTTACGATTTCACTTATCTCTTTTGATATGTACAGTTGTCCATTGCTTTTAGCATTACTATCCTCGCTAGTCTGCTTCTACTGTCAGGCCTATTTTCGTATTGTTGTGAAGAGTAGCAACTTGAGTAGACACATGTTTACGTCAGATCCTACGCCATCTATCGCATTAATGAAGTCCGAAATTACGATGTACTGGTTGGGAAATGAGTGCTATTTGTCACAAATGCAAAACATAGCACATTACACAGTCCTTATCAAAACTAGATATGCTTTCAAATATTTAAGGGATATTGTAGTCCCTAGTAGCTATAAAATAATGAAAGAAATAACCTAACTTTTAAAATCTTATGATTTGGCACATATTACCAGTCTTCTTTAATGTTGCTTGTCTAGGAATAAAATCCACAAAAACCCCTTCTGATAAAAATCAAAAATGTTGATATCGTGTCAAGACTAAAGATGGTTTTTCTGAATTACTATGTAAGCAAAAAATGAGCTAAAAGTTAAGTTTATCACACCACATTCGGATAGAAAGAAAACAATATACTGTTAAATAAAAGTAATTTAGATACCATTAACATTACTCAATCCGATAGCCATTTATTGATTTATGTACCCATTCAATTTGAGAGTTAATGCTAATATCTAGTTGCTCAAATTAAAAGGATGTTTACGTTTGAAAACTAACTGTCGAAAATCGATTGTCAAAATTGTTGGATCTAAGTTGCGATATCCGAAAACATATCGTTTGTATACCTGGGTAAGTTACTTTAGGAAAATTAGTGCCCGGAGTCCCTAATTCTGAACAATTACCTGAACCATAATGGTACTCCTAAGGAAAATGTAAACTGCGCAATTTACTTAGATTTGTTTGTAATAAAACGACCTGTGATATCAAAATGGTTGATGTTATTCGGTTACTTATATTACTCACTGGTATATCTTGATGGTGTATAATGCGTTTCCAGATGCCTAAATGTAACTTTTAACGGAAAATTTATCAGTTCAGTGAGGGATAAATTACGTAAAAAGATGAAAACACGAATTAGAAGAGTTATAAATAGTTCGACTACTTTCTGACGAGTTGAAAACAACTACCACATGAACTAAAGGTTTAAAAAAGTGTAGAAAATAAGCGAACCTCATCAATTCGCATATTTGGATCTGGTGAAATAACAGTTCTGGCGGTAAAATTCGTTCGTTTACCCAATAGGCTACCACGAAATCGACCATGTTTACCAGCTAGCCTTTGAAGTAAACCACGCATAAACTTATGATCTTGAACAGGAGGCAAACCGGATTGTTGTGAATTAATTAGCCGTGCAAATTCAGCGTGTAAGTTATCTAGGCACGCGATTTGATCCGCCTCCCCGATATCTTCTTCAATTGTTGCTGCCTGAGCTAATATCCATTGATACATTTGAGTAAGATCATCTTCATTACTTAAAAAAAGGAAATAATGATACAGTGATCACCTGTATAGTAAAATGAATACTGAGAAACACAAATTTGCACTATATCTACAAAGAAAGGGAAAATATAGGTATGGAGATATCATTACATCTGGATCCATAAACTATGCAAATTGGTACCCAGATGTGCTGCAATGCTGAATTGATTGTACCGAGTAAATTAGGCAATATTTACCGATCGAAGTGGCACCACTGTGTAATGTATTCGACACAAACACATTCATAAAGCCAAAAAAGCCTAGTATTGGACATGGCGAGACATTTTTGCTATTTACGTTCGAAACATATCAAAGGCAGAAACTCCAAACGCAGGTTCCCGAGACATTTTGACAACAGAGACCATCAAATCTGATCCAGAATTGTTAAAAGATAAGAATGTAAACTACTAAGATGCAGAAAACTACATATTATCCCTAGACAACTGTGTATAGTTGTGGTTCACATGTCTAACGATGCTACTTTTAAATATTAAGTAGTAGATTCAAACACACCATTATCTACCTATCGAACGAACTTTTGTCTATGACTTCGTCTCTGCACAGCTATCTTTAAGATTTTGAAATTAGTCTATAGACCAGGTCTCGCCATCCTCACACGTCAGCTTATATTAAATATCTATGATAGTTCAAAAGATGGGAAATGAGAGAATTTTAAACGCAGGACGGAAGATTTTGAAATGTTTTCCTTCAAAAGGTTAACTCCCCGAATGTTTAACAAGTCATTTACTTTTCCATCTTCAATTGTAAAAGCATTCTGATTCCCACGCAAGAATCTTTATCAGTTATTTATTCTGCACTTTACTAATTGTTTGTCTGATTTGTGTTTGGACTAGTGAGGTAAGATAACTTACGGGGAAAAATGAAATGTCTCGTCTTACTGGATTTGCTAATGTAACACATCCTGGAACCTCGTGGGTTACTGCTAGTCCCAAACTGGGGTAGAGGGTTGGATGTGAAATAAAGAACCCTAATACAAAAGAGTTAACCAAAGGAAACCAACTGAAACCAACTCCGATAGCCAGAGCAACAACTAACATACGTATGTGGAATATCCGGAGGAAGTGGGATACAGAGAGGGCAATTCAAATACTGATAAAAATGAGAGGATACAACCTGCCCGTGCTTTCAATAAATGAAAAACAATTATATCTAAGATTAACAGGAAAAACTAACTTCATGAAAAAGATTTATTCTGGTCATGAAGAAGAAAGTGGGTCGTGAACAGAAGCATTCGCGGTAATGTCCAAAGAAGCACAAAAAGGGCTTATTGGGTAAGAAACGTACGGCTCCAGGATCATCAGATCATTCTTTAAAACAGAGAAGGAAAGGACTGGAACGAATTTCATCCAGTGCTAAGCACACAAACGATAGGATTAAAGATTGTGAAGACGGTTTTATGAGAGGCTGGAGTTTATCTGACATAAATGTTTGGGAAAACACTTGATCATTTTGATGGCGGTCTTAACGCCAAGGTCGGGATGAATGACTCTGGGATCGAACTCATAATTGGGCGACATGAACTAGAAGATATGAAAATGGTGCAAGTCTGACGAATCTATAAGCTTTTAACAACATGGTCACAGGTGATAGCGTTCAGCTCCAAAAGTGCATACACATCTATGTGGGTTTCATTGGACAACAGTGGAGAAAACCAGATGGATCATGGATCCAAAAATAAAAGAAATTCAGGTTCATGGAAGACGATACGGCTTTAGATTATACGCATGGAGATTTCTAAGCTGAAACTGAAGCTAAAGTCATTTGGACACTTGGGCGAGCAGCATTACAAAAGTTTAGTACAGTCACCTTTTGAGATACCGACAAACAACGAATTCAACATAGCTCTCAGCAATATGTCCCAAGCCTTACAAACTCGAATTAAAGAAGGGGAAATCACTATGGAGAACAATTGGAAAGGGATTAAAAAATCAATGCCAGGAGGTGCTGGGCCACAAGGTCCATCAGCATGAGAAATGAACTTCTATAAACAGCCGGGAAGAAATTTGAGAAAAGCAAAATACGAAGATGAAAGTCAACAACGGTCAAACGGTAACAGAGAAAACCAAGGTACGCCGTGAGTGTGCAGAAACAACAAACGAGTACATAATACTAAAGACAACAAACGGGAATATGTAGAAAATCTGGCAATTACCGAAGAAAAAACTGTGAGAAGGAAATATAAAGAAACCACATGATACAACCAAGAAACTTGGGGGGAAAAATATTAGACCAGAGCGACCAATCAAGAACAAAGGAGGTAAATCGATTATTGAGGCTAAATAGCAGTGGAATAGGCTGGGTGAAAACTTTGGAGAGCTCTTGAACAGATCATCACTCCTGAACCTTCCGATCATTGAAGAAATTGGCAAAGCCATCAGATAAATCAAGAACGGTATAGCAACGTGACTAGAAAGTATATCAGCTGAAGTAATAATGTCGCATATAGAGGCAAGTGCAACGGTGTTTCGTGTTCTCTTCAAACAGGTCTCGGAGGAATAGTAAGCACCAACAAACTGGGAACAGGGATAAATTGTAAAGATGATAAAGAAGATCCTCGTGAGTTTGAAAACCACGGAGGGACTACACTGTGGTCAGTACTAAGCAGTTTTTAACAGATCAACAATCTGGCTTCATAAGGGTCGATCATATGCCGATCAAGCTGTGACACTGCTTATCGTTGTTGAATAATCGACTGAATGGAACTCATCCCCATGCATTAAATTCCCTGATTATGCGGAAGCATTCAAAACTTTAGACAGAAAAACTGTGCAATACTGTGGAGTATCTGAGAAGAACGTTCTGAACACACAGAACTCCTACGACGGACTGAATTACAAGGTCGTGCATGGAGAGCAGCTTGCAAGTGTATTTCAAGTGAGGACTGGTGTCAAAAGGGGTTGATCATTCCCATCTTTTCTTTTTCTGCTGGTTGTTGACTGAATTATGGCCACATCTCGAGAAGCATGGAATACAGTGGATACAGCTACATTTATAGATGACTTAGCCCTATCATTGAATACACAGCAACAAATACATGTAAAGATAGCTAGTGGAGCAGAGGCCTCCGCAGAACTAGGCCTCAACATTTACGAGGAAAAGAGAAACATCCTGAAGTACAACGCAGGGATCTCGAACCAAATCACACTCGATGATGAGACTCTGGAGGAGGCGGAAGCCATTTACGGGCCTAAGCAGCATCAATAATGGGCAAGAAGGATACGATATGAACGTGGAGGGAATTGACAAAGCAAAGACATTATTCTTGAAGTTGAAGATCTGGAGCTCAAAAGAACTGTTACACAAGACCAAGGTCAGAATTTTGACACCGTTAAAACTGAGCTAAAATTTAGAAGACTATCACCACCGCCACCAAAGCAGTAAAGGTATGTACGTAAATCCGTCTATGTAATACACTCTAGATCATCAGGGAGAAGATACCCTCGCGAAGAACAAACCAGCTGAGGAGGAAATTAAAAGACGCTGGAGGTGGATAAAACACACTCCGCATAAACCACTAAAATGTATTACGCGGCAAGCCCAAGCTTGGAATTTTTAAGGGGAAAGGATAAGAGGTAAATTAAAAAAAACATATGGCGCTGGGAATCAGAGGCAGACATTGTGGCAATGAACACTTGACAACAACTGAAAAGAACCAAGGACCGATTTGGTTGAGGATCCCTGGTGGATGGCATATGCCCCGTGAGGGGTAGGAGGTTTAACTCACTGAGGTTCGTTAATGTGCATCTGGCTTGCAAATGCATACAAGTGATATGCCAAATTAATTTTTTAAAAAATTAGAAAGAGAACTTACGTTCCACTGCGGACTTCGGAAACAACTGATGGTCTGATAGCACTTGGGCAGACAGGCACTCTCTGAACAATTAGGTTTCGTGGGTGAGTCATCCATTGAGAATCAGAAGGCATGAGGAGTAATGGCAAATCTTCTTCTGGAATTTTAGAAAACAATTGCAGAGCCTTTCCGGGTCGTATAATCTCCTAGAATTGCACGGAATAATTAGCTAAATTTTTACAAATATTAATGCCATACCTACGTATATTTTCGGCTTGTTAAGATTCCTAAAACATACCAATAGCAACAAGATTCTTGGTAAATTATAACTATGTGCTTAAAACACTTTCAATTTACGCAGTGGGTGACGAACTGGGGGGAATTCTACTTTAATCAGTCTGTTGCTGAAAATCTACGATACCAAAGTATGGATCAACGAAGGTTAGGATACAAATTAAGCAGTGGTATATTAATAACCAGTGTTTGAAATATTTACTCTACCTACGGAAGAGGCTATGGGAGTAAAGCCAGAATTAAGATTAGTATGAAAACTGTACTCATCTTAAAGATACTACGAAATAAACTAGGAACAGATTATCTCATGAAAAACGTTTGTGAGTACTTTAAACTTACGCACCACGTAACTAACATTTTAATATAAATAATAAAACAGTAGTTCTACAGTTATTTGCCGTTCTTCAATATTCAGATGACTTAAACTATAGATACTAAGTACTGGATGTCGAACCTCTCCGGGATTCGACACAGTTGAACTGATCAGCATGATTATACAATTATACGGCTTTACTGTCAACATGTCAAGATTGATTCTACGGCCCCCAAATGCCTTGATATGGCCGAGAATGGGGTGGGTTCGCCCTCCCTCTCGAAATACTCTCACACGGCCACGCGTATACAGCCTCTGCCAGGGAAGTCCTACTCATTGCCTTCTCGCACCACGGGTGTTGTTTACGAAAATGAGAGGACGAAAAGCGAATGTCCGGCGCTTTAACCGGATTCCAAATCAATGGTGCACATGGGCTCCAGTATCATAAAGGAACAAATGGCGTATGAACCAATTTTCGGTCACCGGCTACCATGGGACTGCATCTCCTTACGATGCTCCACTGCCTTGTGGGTTAGATCTTTGGTCAAAGGCTCGGGGTGTGGCCCCCTAAGATAACCAGCTGCTTCGGTCTGGGCACCCGGGCAGTATCGCAGCCCACACGCAATTAATGAACTGAACTGTCTATGATCATGGAAACTAATTCTCTTGCTTCGATGAACATTCAAATGATTCAATTATTATTATTGCTATTATTATTATTATTATTATTGTTATTAATATTATTATTTACTACGTCATTATTCACCCTCTTTTATTCCTACTCTGTCTATACTTATTTTTTTCGACTTATACAGCAGCTCGTCTATGGTGGAAATTCGACTATATCTAAACGTTCTCGAGTCACTGACTGGTTGAAAATTGTATGCTACCACCAAATACGAATACTGAAGCAGTTTTTTTGAAACCACATGCACCATTCAAACTGGCTGCCTTCAACGTTCGCACACTTATTCAGGTCGGACAACAGATAGGGCTGGCTATGTCTTTGGAAAGTCTTAATATTGATGTTTGTTGTCTATCCGAGACCCGTATTCAAGACTCTGGTGAAGTACTACATATTCGCTCTCCATCTGTCGCTTCAAAAAGCTTGTTTCACGTGCGCTTATCCGGGGACCCTGTGGCATCTTCGTCTGGTCTTGCTGGCGTTGGTGTCGCACTGAGCGCTAGAGCTGAGGCAGCTCTAATCGATTGGATCGCCATTAACAGTCGGTTATGTGCTGTTAGATTAGAGAGTTTCATCAAAGTGAGAAGAAATCGGCGTGAGAAACGACGTCTTTTCGTCATCTTCACCTATGCATCGACAGATTGCAGCCCGGATGCAATCAAGGATGAAATCTACCACCAGTTATCTGTTCTTCTCCAGAAAGCGCGTTCGACAGGTATTGTAGTCGTTTAGGTGGCCGATGGGGACTTGTTAGTCTCAGGACAGATAACGGGGACCGTCTACTGCAACTTTGCACAGACCACAACCTGTTTCTGGCTAGCACTAACTTTCGGCACAGTCATCGCCGATGTGCCACCTGGCGTCCTCCCTCTGCATCTCAAGCCTGGACTCAGATTGATCACATCGCGATCAGCTACCGCTGGCGTGGTTGTGTACAAGACTGCCGCTCCTTTTGGAGTACCTATCTGGACTCTGACCATGCCTTGGTCTGCGCCAATCTTACCTTACTTTTCAGTGGCCAACGAAGTGACCGCCACCAAAGGATTGATGTTAGCAAGCTGGTTGCAACTTCTGTTGCAAGTAAGTATCGAACCGAGCTAGCCTCTAGGCTAGCTACCACTCCACCGAAAAGTATAGATGAGCATTGGTTGCAATTGCATGACGCCATGAAAATGGCGGGAACAGTCAGTTGTGGGTTTGCGAAACGTCCCGCTTTAAGCACTGGGTTTCTTCTGGTTCCTTACAACTCATTGAAGCCCGTCGGTCTACTCCGGGTGACCGTGAGTTTGACCATAAACGAAGGATGTTACGTAAGGAAATTGGGCAAAGCTTGCGTAAGGACCGAGAAGCCTGGTGGTCGGAGCGTGCTAATGAGCTGGAAGCAGCAGCTGCATCTGGTAATTACCGGAAGCTCTTCCAACTCATCCGAGCCACTGGCAGCAAGAAGTCTGGTGTGAGTAAAACAATCTGCGAGGATGATGGGATGCCAATCACTAACATCCATCGACGTCTTGGACGATGGGCAGAATTTTTCGAAGGGCAGTTCAACTGGCCTGCTGCTCCGGCAACATCGGTCAGACTGGCCTGCTGCTCCGGCAACATCGGTCAGACTGTCCTGCCCTCCATGGCCGGTGACGACTGATCCACCAAATGAGGAGGAAGTCCGCAAGGAACTCCAACTCTTGAAGCGTTACAAATCACCTGGCCCAGATGACTCACCTTTTTAAAGATGGTGGTGACTTTTTGACTAAGGAATTGACGACGTTGTTTACAAAGGTTTGGGAACTAGAGAGTGTACCAACGTCATGGAATGAGTCGATAGTTGTCCCTATCTTTAAAAAGGGTTCACGTCGTTCCTGTAACAACTATCGGGGGATAAGTCTACTTCCGATTGCGTCCTTCCAGGAGGTCCACTTATCGACTTAGAATATGCAGATGACATAGTCCTGTTTGGTGAAGACGCTGACAAAATGCAGAGTCTTCTGGTAGCACTAAGCAACAATGTCAAAATGTTTGGGATGCGCTTCTCTCCCTCTAAATGCAAGTTGTTGCTTCATGACTGGTCTGCGTTAACACCTGAACTAAGGATAGGGAGTGAAGTAGTCGAACGTGTTGACAACTTCACTTATCTTGGAAGTCTGATCAGCCCTAATGGGTTGGTGTCTGACGAAATCTCAGCACGGATTCGTAAAGCTCGTTTGGCTTTTGCCAACTTACGTCACCTTTGGCGGAGGCGAGATATCCGTCTATCAATAAAAGGACGAGTATACTGCGCGGCTGTCCGTTCTGTTTTAATTTACGGCAGCGAAACATGGCCCTTAAGAGTAGAAGACACGCGTAAGCTACTAGTATTTGACCACAGATGCCTTAGAAATATTGCTGGCGTCTGCTGGGATCACCGGGTAAGTAATAGTGAGGTTAGACGCAGGGTATTAGGGAATGATGGTAAATCAGTTGATGAGGTTATGAATCTTCATCGACTGAGATGGTTGGGCCACGTATTACGTATGCCTGAACACCGATTACCGCGACGTGCAATGCTAACCGGTGTAGGGGATGGTTGGAAGAAAGTTAGGGGCGGCCAAACCAAAACGTGGCATCAGTGCCTGAAGTCACTAACTTCTAGTCTGAGCCATGTTGGTAGATGCAGACTACTTGGTTGGGGTCCGCGTGACTTTCGTAACCAATGGTTGGAGACCCTTGGTGACATGGCTCAGAATCGATCACAATGGCGTCGGTGTATACACTCTCTGTCTTCTCTTAAACTAAGAGATTAAGACCACTTCACATCTTTCTTTCTACGAACTAATTCTTTCTTCCTATACTATATCCTTATTGCAATCCTTCTCCTATATATTACCACCTTTGACCTAACCACTCCTATGAATCCAGTGTTCATCTTGCTGTGCTAATGAGGTATGGCAACCTGGGCCGATGCATACATGTGCCTGGTCCTACGTTGTAGCTGACTGACTGATTGCGTCCAAGCTATTGGCTTCCGTCATACTTCGTAGGTTGTTCAAAACCCGAGAAAGATTGATTCGCGATGAGCAGGCTGGTTTTCGTTCTGATCGAGGACGTATTGATCATATCTTCACCCTCCGCCAAATGTTAGAACATCGTCATACTTTACAAAGGCCAACAATCGTAGTGTTTCTTGACATCAGGGCTGCCTTTGATTCGTTGGACAGGACTGTTCTCTAAGATTGTCTATTGAAGAAGGGTGTGCCTGAGAAGTCCATCAACGTCTTAAAGGCCCTATATACAAACACCTCAGGTAGAGTGAGGGCATACAACCACCTTTCTCCATTGTTCTATTCGAGCAGTGGGGTTAGGCAGGGTTGCCCAATCTCACCATTCCTCTTCAACTTTGCCATAGATGACATTCTGGAAACAGCTCTGATGGGTGTAAGTAATGGCGGTGTGGATCTGTTGCCTGGAGAAAGACTTCTCGACCTTGAGTATGCGGATGATACTGTCTTACTGTGCGATAATGCCCAAGGCATGCAATCCGCACTTAATCAGTTGGCAATCAATGTACGTAGGTATGGTATGTGCTTTGCACCTCCGAAGTGCAAAGTACTTCTACAAGATTGGCAGGATTCTAATCCTGTACTCAGCCTGGATGGTGAGCAGATAGAAATAGTCGAGAAGTTCGTGTATTTGGGTAGCTGCATAAGTGCTGGTGGGGGGGTGAGTGATGAGATTAATGCACGTATAGTGAAAGCCAGAGTGGCTTATGACAATCTGGGTCATTTTTGGCTCCTTCGTGATGTCAATCTGGCTGTAAAACGTCGAATCTACAACGCGTCGGTGAGAGCAGTTTTGCTCTATGCTTGTGAAACCTGGCCTCTCCGAGTTGAGGATGTTAGACGACTCTTTGTTTGATCATCGTTGTCTCCGAAGGATTACTGACATCCAGTGGGAACACCATCTTAGTAATGCAGAGGTTCGGCATCGTGTGTTCGGGCGCAGAGACGATAATCCAATTGGTGTCACCATCTTGAAACACCGACTTCGGTGTCTTGGACATGTTCTACGAATGTCGTCCCAGAGAATTCCACGTCGTGCATTATTCGCCGACTCTGGGACTAGTTGGAAAAAGCGAAGAGGTGGTCAGTATATGACATGGTGTCGTGGTATGAAAGAAACCTGCAAAGGGATGGCTTCTGTTGGTCCTTCACGACTCCCTGGCTGGGGTCCGAGAGATGGTACAACACAGTAGCTAGAGATGTTATCAGATATGGCTCAGAATAGAAGCCAGTGGTGATCCTGCTGTAACCTTCTTTTACTTTCTTCATAAAAAGTGGTTGTTTCTTCCTTAACTGAAAGATTTCTTCTGATTGTACCCTTCAGTTCCCCTACTATTACTATTATTATTACACTACCTTACATTAATCTCTTCGTTATTCTTTTTTTTAATATATTTTTTTACGTTCCCACTTTTTTTCTTTTTCTTAAATTCTCGTTGTTTTATGTGGCGCATATATATTTGGCGCACTCCTGTACCAATATATATGTGTTCAGATAAAATAAATAAATCCTTGAATGTTTTGGTATTTATGTCATCAGAATATGAATTGGCGAGACTTTGTGA